CTACACAGAGTCTACCAACAAAAAGCATTCATTATCTTTGTAGAATTAAAAAAAAATGGAGAAGCGTTATTGAATCGCTCAAAGATATTTCTGTGAAAATAAATTAGAATTCCCCTAACTTCAGCTAACCATCCGTGGTGATATATATCGAAGTGACTGTTAATTTAAAATTAATTATATTAAACTTAATATGAAAAAACAATAGATAAAAAATGTCAGGTGTTGATATCAAAAGTAAAAAGGGCATATCCTGACCAGGAGCACATGTGCTTTTCAGAAGGCAGAGCACCCTCTGGTGGAACAGAAATCAACTAAACATTGATTTATCCCGTTCCCTGATATTTGGCCAACTTAATTTCTTGATGAATCAAGAAAAGCCATCCACGAATTTATCAAGAAATTGGGTTGGCCAAATATCAGGGAACAGGCTAAATCAATGTTTTGTTGATTTCTGTTCCACCAGATGGCGCTCTGCCTTCTGAAAAGCACATGTGCTCCTGGTCAGGATATGCCCTTTTTTTATTTTTTAAACATAATATGAAGGATGAATTCGTAACCTTTCAGCTTTGAATCTTATTTATTATTGATAGCATGGATACAAACCATACTTAGTATGTGAAACAAAGAACAATAATTATTATGTACAAGAGATCCTTTTCAAACACGAGAGTTCATCTATAGCCATTGTTACTCTGTGGAATATTACAACAGAGACGACTCTGAAAAATTCTTCTTTTTACTAAAGTTTCGTCAACACCAGCTTCGAACATCTCTGTGCTTCCCTAGGTGTGGTAAAGTATGTTAAACAACCTACCTATATGCTTGAGAGAATATTTAGAAAAATGCTGATTCTCACCTAAATATTTTTAAAGGAATTTCAATGAAATCCGTCAATGGTAAATCATACACCGAAAAGTTAAGATAGAGTTTGCCTGACCGGCATTTATATTCAAAAAAAGAGACGCCTTGGCCAGAGAAAGTTTTATTTAATTTCTCTGACTGAAGTACCTCTTTTTTAAAGAAATTAAAATTGAGAGATATGTAAAGGGGGACTATAAACATGACTATTAGCAATTATATACATTCGAGGAGGGTTTCCCAATGCCAAATAGTCCTCCTTAAGATGATCTGGGATCTCATTTTCTACCCTTATCTCAAGGCTCAGGAGAGATTTGTAGATGGACACCTTGATTGAGGCAATAATGGTTTGAACCTGTAGAAGAACAGATGTTCGAAAGATTGTGTTGTATGATGTAAGCTGAATTGACGACTACTATTTAAGAATATGTAAATAGGAACAACAACCAACACCATTACATTCAAGCAGCTCCCCGTCGGCCAGCGGCAACCAAGGTCAGGCTGAACGTGGGTGGCGTTGCTATAGATGGAAGGTCTTGAGTTTTCCTTTAAGAAAGTCAAAATAGACGTTTCCTCCTCGAGCCAAGTCATCTGTGGTCCAATGTTTCCTGAAGTTCAGTTTGACACGCCTAGCGACATTTCCGCTGCTGTAACACAGAGAAGATTAGCATGTGGCGTGAGTCGTTACGCCTCACTACACGACCATTGTCATACAACCTCATCAGCAAATTTCATAGAAATTATCACCTTGAGTCTCTATAATTGACAAATGTTACTATTACGGGTTAACACACAAAGTGCACTAGGGCCTATATTAAAAGTAATTTAACACAGAGAAAACATTCAGAAATACAACAAAATACAAAAAAAAGGACGTAAATAAAACCACTCGATTAGTTTTAACAAAACCAATACTTATCTTTTATTGCAGTGTTGATAAGGAGCTGACCGGGGTTACACAGGTATGTGAGGAGATCACCAGACAAGCACATAGAGAACACTTTAAACGTCTCCACACGATCACCACTCCTTACATCCCGTTTCAACCTTCATTTATGTACAAACATGGCCACATTCGTCCAATGACGTGGGAGATCAGTTCTCCTAACAAATAAACAGCATTCTTCCCAATGAGATAAGATAAAACTGCATATGTGTGTCAAATAATTTGACATAATATCCTGCTGGTTTGTACCTCAGTTCCCGATGGCAATGACCTTTTGTTCTGTAAGAACCATTTTGCAGGTTGGCTTCAGAATTAAGTTACGAAAGTATTTACTTCAACTTTTTCTTTCCTCTTTATTTCGATGTTTAAGCGACTCCCTAAGTAAGTCATTTTTCTTATTGAGAAAAATTTCCGTTTTTCTCCCTCTGATTCCCAGCCCTTCAGAAATAATATTTTAATTTTTTTTTTTGTCTTTCCCTATGTAGAATTTGTGCTCCTTTCCAGTCTGCTTTATGATCTTGGTCCAATATGTATAGTCTCATGTTTGTTGGTTTCTTAATTCCTTTTTAGTCCTTGTTTATGTTCTGTTATTCTATCCTCTAAAGTACGTCTGATTTCCCCAATGTATATATTTTGTTGAAATCTTTGTATTCAATTCGGTAAATAACATCTATTCTCTTATCATTAGATATAATATTGTGTAAGATTATAAATTTAAAAGGATCTTCTTTACGCCCGTTGAAGAACGAAGTCGTTCGAAAGCTAGAGAAATAAACATGTTTTATAGAAGAAGCTGAGTTTATAATCTTACAATATAGTTATGGTAATGTTGATGTCTACCTTATATATATAGAATACCAAGATTGCAACAAAATGTACATAGGGAAAACTAAACGCTCTTTAGAGAATAGAATAAAAGAACACAAGAACAAGGGCTCAAAGGAATTAGATACCATACAAACATAGAACTACACTCATGGACAAAACTTAAGTCGAAAGTCTTTGATGTCATTGGGCGTCTATTTTTTAAGGAGACATAGGCAATTTTGTTCACACTTGGTTATCTCGTGTGATTTCAACAACTGTGTATCAAATAACTTTCAGAGTTATTGTCTGAATCCAGATATACATGCTATAAGGTACAACTTCCTTAAGTTTCTTATAAGTTTATTATAGTGCTTCATTATATATAAATATATTTATCTTTTTTACCACTTTTTTTATCTTTCAATAGAATCTTGTATAAATCTGATATGTGATGGAGGAAAATTCATTACCATGCAAAACTTTTAAAATACATTAAAACTCCAGATATAACACGAGTTATCTGAGTAGAGAAAAATCCTTTAGAGTAATTTAATTCGAAAGCTTCTTGAAATAAAAATAAATTATTAAAGATACTTATGACGCAAAACATGAAATAATTATTTTTTAAAGAACGAGATACCAAAATAAAGGTTTTATACGTATCTATGTGTTGTATTTAACAAAAAGAGCAATTCTCTCTTTTAGCATTGTTTGGTTTTAAGATAAGAACTGGCCTGAGATTCTCTATGATTTTAATGATTATCATGAAATACCATCTCCAATAGGTAGATCAGCCATCATAATATTCTGAGCCAATATGTAATATCAATTATTTTTTTTATCCCAGGATTCGAATATCTTCCTATAACTTTTTTTCCACCCCAACAGTGAACCAATCTTCTGTGTTCCATTGTTTTCTTCAGGCGGCACGAGACCAACAGAAAACAATGGAGAAAAGATCAATAACGGATTGTGAGAAAAGATTGGTCTGCCTTTTGAGAAAATTTCCAGAAACAATGTTGAAATTTTCTTGTTTACAAAGTAAGCATTTTTTTTCATTATTATTGTTCCAGTTGAAAAAAAATACACACACACACGCACACACAGAATATACCAAATATTTTGGGTAAACCAGAGCCTTAAGCATACAGACACCCAGCAAATACAATATTGTCCTCGTAAACACCTTCTAAAAATGGAGAATTAAAAAAAAAAATCTGAATATACAAAAGCAGAGTCAGAAATTTTTCATCACTTGGGATATTTAAAGCAAACGAGCTTCTTTATAAATCTGTACGTTGTTTAAATGCGCTATTCAATTTAAATATTTTGTTTAAAAATAGGCACAAACATTTCTTGAGTCAACCACTTTGACACCACAGTGATTGATGGCTAAACTTAAGCCTATTATTAGCATTCCTAATCCATCATCGCAAAGAAGCATTGTCTGAGTCACCTGTAAGACGTGAAATCTATAAATTGATTAGGTTGTGTGAAACTAGAAACAAGATTAAATCTAATTTACTTACATAGCTACTAACTTACTTACATAGCTACAAACTTATTTATATAGCTACTAACTTACTTACATAGTTAATAGCATAGTTGCTAACTTACTTACATAGTTATTAACTTACTTACATAGCTACTAACTTATTTATATATCTACTAAGTTACTTGCATAGCTACTATTTTATTTGCATAGTTACTAACTTACTTGCATAGTTAATAGCATAGTTGCTAACATAGTTGCTAACTTACTTACATAGCTACAAACTTATTTATATATCTACTAAGTTACTTGCATAGCTACTATTTTATTTGCATAGTTACTAACTTACTTGCATAGTTACTAACTAACTTGCATAACTACTATCATATTTGCATAGCTACGAACTTACTTGCATAGCTACTAACTTACTTACATAGCTAAAATAACTTACTTGCATAGTTAATAACTTATTTATATAACTTCTAGTTTACTCACATAGTTAATAACTTATTTAAATAGCTACTAATTTACTCACATAGCTAATAACTTACTTGCATAGTTAATAACTTATTTACATAGCTACTAACTAAGTATAGTCCAACCTACATATCACAAAAGAGGGAGAAATAAATTCGAAACTTGCAAGGTTATAAGGGGAATATCTATCTATAAAGCTATATATATCTATATATATAAAAGTCAATTTCTGTCTGTCTGTTTCGCGATAAACTCAGAAACTACTGAACCAATTGGTACCAAATTTTGCATGTCGCTTTTTATAAACCTGAGGAAAATTTTCGGCTGCATTTTGATTAGTATTTTTGGCTATTTCTTTTTTTCATTTGAAGAACTTTTTTTTGCGCGGACTAATCCGGAATGGAATGAATACCTAAATATGTCCATTTTTTTTAAGCATCGGTAGAATGCTCGCCTGCCACGCGGGCGGCCCGGGTTCGATTCCCGGCCGATGCATTTTTTTTTTTACAATTTTTAAAACTCATTTATATTATCTCTATATATATTAAAGTCAATTTCTGTCTGTCTGTTTCGCGATAAACTAAAAACTACTGAACCAATTGGTATCAAATTTTGCATGTCGCTTTTTATAAACCTGAGGAAAATTTTCGGCTGCATTTTGATTAGTATTTTTGGCTATTTCTTTTTTTCATTTGAAGAACTTTTTTTACGCGGACTAATCCGGAATGGAATAAATACCTAAATATGGCCATTTTTTTAAAGCATCGGTGGTTCAGTGGTAGAATGCTCGCCTGCCACGCGGGCGGCCCGGGTTCGATTCCCGGCCGATGCATTTTTTTAAAACAATTTTTAAAACTCATTTATATTATATGCTAGCGGATGTGTACCCGGCTTCGCCCGGGTTTTATCCGAGTGAAAGTTTGCCTAACAAATATTATATATTATGAAGTATAATAAACAATGTTAAAGATTAGTTTTAATTATTAATCAAGATTGTGTGTGAATATGTGAGAAAGATGTAATATCGTTGTTGTTTTCTTGGCCGACTGTTTTACATATGGTGTTATCTTAAAATTGCTTGTTTTGAATATTTTTTTAGATTGAGATTATTAGCTAGTATGTAAAAAAATTAACTCTGTTGAATTTTTTTTTGTATTTATATATAAATAAAATTAACTCTGTTGATTTTTTTTTGTATTTAATCGATAACACCGAAGTTACGCATGTTAATGTTAGGAAATATATTTTGATGTTAAGCAAAACCTGCTCCATCTCGTTTTACATAAATGTTGAAAATTTGGTTGAAATTGATACATTGTAACGAAAGTTTTTAGCGAACAACACTTATGAAATTTCCATTTCATTAATATAGATAATATAAATATATATTATTATATCAACTATATTAATTAAATCAAATACCTAAACACTAATACAATACAATTTTTGCCATCACACACACTTTTTTCCTGTAGTTTATGTGTTACTTCTGTATTGCTATTCTATGGCACTTCTAATATTTATTATTGATTTACTTCTAGTATGAAGGAAATTGCACCCAAGGGATTTCTCGGGCGAAGCCGGGTCATTCGCCTAGTTAAATATAATATTATATAAATGGGTTCTAGATATTCTTTTGATCTCCTAGTATGATAAAAATGGTAACTTTGGGATACAAGAGTGGGATCAGGTCACCGAGTTAAACAATTTGAAGTCATGTAAACCCCTGACAAAGGAATCTAGCCGAGGACAGGGGCGGTGAAGAAAGTAAGGGCGCGCCCCACTTTCCCTGGAAGTATTGTCACAACTTCCGCATGCCACCATACACCCGCTTTACCCAAAATGGAACGCTACTAGGTAAATTTCCGGGTTGAACCTGGTTCTAAGTGATTCCAAAATAGCTAGGAAGTCGTATTTCTTTGCCTAAACTTCATTCCTAGTATTCTAAGGCCAAATGTCAACACTAGCGTTGAAGGACGTTGTTGCATAGTGACCTAATAAACATAAATGTTTTAGCGACATTGTGCAACAAGTACTGACATCACACTACTTCTGTTGAGGATGGATGCAGAAAAGATACTTTGAATACGATAATAAAAAATAGTAATTTCCCCAAGGAAAAGAAAAAAAACTCAAGTTAGAGAGTTTACAAAATAGGTGATCAGAGCTTGTTTCTTTGGGGAAAATGCCTATATTTGAATGTAACTTTGACGTCGGGTAAGACGTTCTTATACGGGTACAAAAGAAGGTTAAAAAGGTATACACCGATAAAATTAATTACAAAAAGTTTCTTTATTTTAAATAAAAAATATAAAACGGCAAGCTCTTTCAAGCGTTAGGCTGTAGGGCCTGATGATGAGCTAACGCTTGAAAGCTTGCCGTTTTATATTTTATATTAAAGAAACTTTTTGCAATTAATTTTATCGGTGTATACCTTTTTAACCTTCTTTTGTACCCGTAGAAGAAGGTCTTGCCTGAAAACTTATACAATCGTCCTCTTTTATAAAAGAATTTCTTCTCCCCGACCTGTGTTTCTTCTTCTAATAGGGAGATTATAGTTGCCTTAACAACTAAGTCATGGCTATAGCTCTTGGAGATGTCTGGTTGAGAAGGGATACCAAGACTGAGTCAACTAATACATATTGGCACGTGGAAAATTAGGAAAGACAAACTTCAGGATGACACAGATTTTTATTTGAGGCAAGAAAAAAACTATGAATAAACTAAAGATAAACAATGAAGGGAAGTTTACAAAGTAGCAAAATATCTTCTTCTTTCTTATCTCCATTCAATCATATTAGTGTATCAAGCTTGTAAAGCTTGAGATCATGATTGGGTGAAGTAGAATGTGCCTTTGTCATTAAGACTGGGAGCACTACTCAGTGGCAGGCCGACTTAGCTCCAAAAGAAATGGCCGCCTCTGACATAAGGAACAGACGCCATGTGCAGCCACTCCTAACATGGAGTACAAACGGTAGCAAAATATAAACATAAAAAAAATGATACTCAGTTAATAAAATACTTTGCTACAATATCATAGTTGGATCATTCTACCATTGATGCCATTAATTAGCCAGAAGTTATGACGCCACTTTCTCAACTGGAGCCCCAGATGTGAAGAGGTTTTCAAACACTTGAGATTGAGTTGTCTGCGATGATGTAATACTCCCACAATGTCTTCACACCATCTGACAGCAGATTCATCTTCCTCCAGTTTCTCAGAAAGACAGTTATTAAATAGCTGTCGATCCATTTGAAGAATTCCCACGAAATCGTTCAACTTTTTGTTAGAGTGTTCCATACCGAAAGATATTTGCCAACGCTAGCTTTACCCAATGTAATATATAAAAGTGAAACATAATTGTCAACAAAGCTAGCTCAATGATGCTGAACACGTGATAAACATTTTTTTTTTTTTTTGCTTATCCCTAGTATACGTGGTACAGGCCATGATAATCATGGTGGGTAGAAGAATGCGACTGCTTTTACTGTAAGTGCACCACATGTCTACACATGTGAAAAGCAGTTCGCCTTTGAACTTACAAATGTGCCAAAGCTCCGTTTGGTTACTTGCATTCGCTGGTGGGGTTGGACTTTTGAAATAATCGAGGGCCATTGGAGCATTTTTTTAATCAGAAAAAAAGTACCCAATGCGGGAATCGAACTTGGGTCGTAGCGGTAGAAAACCAACGGTTTAGACCATCTTTCCACCGACCCCCCCCCCCCCCCCCCCCCGTGATAAACAATAGAAAACACTTGCTAAATCAATAATGATAAATAAATAAAGTAAAAAGTCATTGTCAACACTGACTTACTCATTGTTTCCGAATGGATAATGCATCTGATCAATGCATTTTGCTCATCTTTTCGAAGAACGCAGAAATTCTGATGAAATAATAAAACACTTTTAGGTAAATTATAAAAAAGGCATCTCCTTATCGTGCAACTGAAAGTTTCTGATGGACGTTGCACAATAATATGATGCCTTTTACGTAATTTATGTACCTTATCCCAGTACAATATCACATTTGTACTGTTTTTCACTTTTAGGTACATTCGGCCGATTTCATAAACTCCTCTTATATATACGATTTTTATTTATTCATATATTTTATTCAAAGGTAATTATAGGAGATTTGTATTCAACCGAAGTACTACACAAATCTCATATAGATTCTGCCAGTTAAAGTTTTCTCAACGTTTCAACAAAATCCTTTTGTCTTCATTAGAAGAAATGAATAAAAAAAAAGCATTTGGTAAGGTGTTAAAAATTTTTAAAAATTTATTTTTTCTGACGAAGACAAAAGAAATTTGTTGAAACGTTGAGAAAATAAAACTTTAAGTGGCCGAAGTGTCTATTTAAAAAAAAAATAATTAATTTTTCAACTATTTACATTAAAAAGATATATATAATTAATATAAAAATTGTATTTCCTAGGTTTTAGATTTATAACTATTCTCTTTTATAGGGTGGTATTATAGTAAATGACCACAAACACATTTCGCTAACAAATAACTGGTTTATTAATTTATTTATTTCGTCTCAATTTACAGGTGTTACATTCGAGCACAGCTCGCGAGTCAACTTGTCCTGGCTATTTACACATGGCGAGATGGTGGAGTAGAAGTGGTCCCCCTAGGCCTTGCAGGAGGGCAGCTGTTGGGCGATGAGCTCTTGACTAAGTGTCAGGGCCGGGTCGTCGGAATCGGGGATTGATATCTCCTTTATTTTGTAGAATATCTTGTATGGTTGGATTATTTGAATTTTGCATTTGGAAGTATAATTTCTTAACGGAAGTTTGGTACATATCTTCTAGATCGGGTTGGTTCAAGTCCTCCTTCAGTATCTTGTTTGATAGAATGAATGGAGCTCCTATACTTATCCGAAGGCAGATTCTCATAAATGCGTTTATCCTATTTTTGTTTGTGGTTGTAATATATTTACACCAAATTGGGAGTGCGTATGTTACTATCGGGAGGATACAACTTCTGTATAGAGTAAACTTTTGTTTTGTAGTCAATTTGCTTCTATAGTTGAACAGGCTTGATAATGTTATTTTTGCTGGTAACACCGATGGTAACACTGGTTTATTAAATTATTTTAGTCAGAGTAAATATTCTTTTGAAATATAAGGAAGTGGGTAGTTAAGAGAAAAATCAATTAAATTAAGAACTAAATATAGTTTTAGGAATAGGAAAATGTAATATAAATATAAACATAAAAAGGTTTGGGAATAAAAGGTATAATATACAATTAGCTAAGGTTTGTCCTAACAGCGCCATCTATCTACAGTTTTAGCAACTATTTATCCTACAGTATGATATCGAAGCTTAATTTTGGAACGGTCCACCTTTTGATGTATGCCGACGACATAATTCTAATAGGAGAATCAAAAATCAATCTACAAATAAAAATCAACATGTTGAAAAAATACTTCGAAACAAATCATCTAACCCTGAACGAATCAAAATCCAAGATAATGGTTTTCCGAAAT